TTCTCCCATCAATTCTAATACTTTCTCCATAGAATATTGTGAATTTTTTCTGCACACAATCTTTCATCTCTAAATTATGATAGTATTAATTCTTTATTTCCAGTTCTTGTTATTTGTTGTCATCATTGTGGTTGCTACCTTCTTACTCTGGGCACAACATGTACACCTTTAAAGACATCCATTCACATGAGTCTGATCTGGTGCCTTTGCCATTGAGTATTTCTAAACCTGGCTGGGTAACTAAGTTTGAGTAAAACTCTGGAAAGCACAGTACAAGTCTTGTCATAGAGCTAATTTTTAGAACCTCAGAATTCCAACATAGAGACAGAAATGCTGAATCTGAGTGGTCATCCACTGGTTGCTTGTGAAGGAAGCAGCTGGTACAAGCAAAGCAAACTGATGGTTTTGTGGAGATTTTTTTTTTCCTAGTAGAGGAGATTCCTGTTGAATCACTGCAGAAGACCAGCTACTATGCAGCTGACAATAATAAACTGCAAAGTCTTCAGGCTCCAGGTTGCTGATGGTGAGAGTAAAATCTGTCCCAGACCCACTGACACTAAGCTGGGCTGGCGTGCCGGTGGCCCTGGTGGACACCCCATAGGTGATGATGAGCTGGGGGTCCTGCCCAGGTTTCTGCTGGTACCAGGCTAAGGAACTGCAACACTCTAACTGTCCATGTAGGTGAGAGTGGCTCTTTCCCCTGGAGACAAAGACAGGGAGGTTGGAGACTATGTCATCACAATTCTTCCAGTGGTATCTGAGGTCAGAAGTAAAGCAGAAAAGTCACCATTGCAACCTACATCATACCTGTTGTCTTCACAGTAGAACAAAGACAGTTGATCTACACTGAGCTTAAATGCTGTGCTCGCAGAGCAGAGGTCCAAGATCACAGAAACCCAACAGCACCGAGAGAGTCTTCACTGACATGCAGAGCTACCCCGTGTTCCCTCACCTGGGAGCCAGAGTAACAGCAGGCAGAGAAGCACACTGAGCTTAAATGCTGTGCTCGCAGAGCAGAGGTCCAAGATCACAGAAACCCAACAGCACTGAGAGAGACTTCACTGACATGCAGAGCTACCCCGTGTTCCCTCACCTGGGAGCCAGAGTAACAGCAGGCAGAGAAGCAAAACTGGGGCTACTATGGTTCACCCTAGGTCCTAACTGAGGCAGATCCTCCTCAGAGTTTTGACTAGGCATTGATATGGGCTCTGGACAGCCAGGCTGGCTGGGAGGGACATGCAAAGCAGCTGGGGCAGAGCGAGCTGGGCTTCCAGCTCCAGAGTTACCCACCTCCTCTTCTCTGCACTTCAGCAGCCTGTGCCCATGTGGTCAGGTCAGAAAAGGCTGCTGGCTCAGCCTGAGAGTGGAATTTCTCTCCTGCGTTCACAGAATTTAGTCTCAAATCCACTCACCATACTATTTACATAGACTCAGGCACAAGGTGTTTGGTACAAGCTGTTGAGAGGAAGGTACATGCCTGTAGTGCCATTTTTCTCCTTCTAACACCAACACACCTTAACATCTCCTTTGGTGTGTGATTGGATTGGATGAAATAAAAAGTTGACCAGAAATTTGTATTTCAGATTCTTCTTTCCTTTGCTGACTAGCAATTTTTCCTGAGGTCACTGAAGCTGCCTTACTTTTTGTGAGAATTAATAAAGAGCAACACTAAATTAGGTCCCACAGCATGGGTGCAAAGACAATAACTGTGTAGATGAGCAGGACCCCGGATCTGACTGTTCAGGGTACCGATAGCATTTCCCTGAAGACAGATGATGGTGCTGTCCATGCAGGCAGGAAACTGTCCCTAGAGTGATCCTCTATTCTCTATCTGAATTGTTTCAGCCTAGCTAGAAAGGTGATATTATATATCATGAGTTGGCAAACTGTGGGCCATGAGGCAAATCTGGCTTCTCACCTGTTTTGTATGACCTATGAGCTAAGAATGTATTTTGCATTTTTAAATGGTTGAAAAAAATCAAAAGGAGAATAACACTCGTATTTTTCTGAATGAAAATCATGTGAAATTCAAGTCTTGGTGTCTATAAATAAAATCTTATCTGTATATCATTTGCTTAAGTGTTAAGTATGGTTGCTTTTTCAAAACGAAGGCAAGGTTGAGTCGTGTAACAGGAAATTTACCTGGTGCTTTCATCACTTTCTCTGCTGCTCAGCCCTGTAGAAGTTGCAGTCATCAGTTAGAATAGGATAGTATGTCAACTGAAACACATGTCACCATTCTGCAACTTTCTTTTTTTAGTTACTAGTACATACCTATCATGTCAAAACAAGAAGTGAATGGTGCACTTCAAATGTTGTACTTTTAAGGCACAGTGTAGTGTGAATTTTTTTAATCAAATTAGATGGTAAAATATAGTGTTTATTATGCAATAACATTATAGCCATGCTATAAGACAATATATCATTGTTAAGACTAAGCACTCTTCACAATATTCCCAACTCATAGTAAAGCAGTGGCCAGAAAAAAAATGGAAAATTTAAAATACAATAGCTCTTCAGAGAAGAATTTCTTCACAAAATCAAAAAATGGAAATGAGGCTGCATGGGCACAGAAAGAGAAATTCAGCATGCTCTCATGTGGAAGCTAAAACTGTTTATCTCATAGAAGTAGAGAGTAGAACAGTGGTTACTAGGGGCTGGGAAGGGAGGGGAAGTAGGAAAGGGAGAGGTTGGTCAATGCTTACAAAACTACAGCTAGATAGAAGGAATAAGTTTAGTGTTCTATAGCACTGTAGGGAGACTGCAGCTAACAATTCATTGTATAGCTTCAAAGAGCTAGGTGAAAGAATTTTGAATGTTCTCAACACGAAGAAATGACAAATGTTTGAGGTGTTGGATGTGCTAATTACCTTGATTTGATCATTACACATTGTAGATATCTATCCAAATATCACATTGAACTCCAAAAATATGTACAATTCAAAAAGTAAAAGAAAATGGGGCTTCAGCCAATGTAAGTTTTTTAAGTGGCTCATTTGTTAGCTAAGCAAGAAAAGTCATATACCCATGGTGAATTAATTCTGTTTAATTGCTGCAGCCAAAACCTATGTCCAGAGAAAATAAATTTTCTGAAGACTATCAGAAAGTTGTGAGTCCACAGATGGTAGTTCCATTAGAAGGACAGCATGCATGGTAAGTAAATTCATACCCAGAGTGTCTATTCCAGTAAAACCAAAACACTGCTTCTTCCATGATGGTAGCTGGCTGATTACCCTGGGGAATGGTGCCATACCAGGGACTCAGTGTTGGAAGATTGGTCACCCAGCTATGGCCATAGTCTGGTCAGGCTTAGGGAGTGGAAATTCATGTTACTGAGCCCGTGCATAATCCTCCATCCCTGCCATCAGGTCCACTTGTTCATTAACTCATTGGACAATGACAGGGGTGGCTGAGGAAAGAGGCTGACTGGTACCCACAGAATAGGTCATTCTATCCACTTTATTATTAAAGTCCTGCTCTTTTATCTCACTCAGAGAGTCAATTTACATATCTCTTACACAAATTTCCTTGTCACCAATATTCCAATCATGTTTCTTCCTAATCCCTGACCTTCCTAGTAAACCATTGGCAGCAGCCTGTGAATTGGTATGTAATTACATGTCTGGCCATTTCTATTCCTAAGCATAGTGAACAATCAGGTGCAATGTTTAAGGTTTTGCCCACTGAGAGGATTTCCCTTGATCATTGTCCTTCAGAAATGTCCCAGAAAGAGACTACAGTGTTACAGCTGTCCACTTTTGGGTGGTACCTGCCACCCAGCTTAGGTGAGGCCTAAGTCTTCTCTTCCTCTGTTGTCCTTCAGAAATGTCCCAGAAAGAGACTACAGTGTTACAGCTGTCCACTTTTGGGTGGTGCCTGCCACCCAGCTTAGGTGAGGCCTAAGTCTTCTCTTCCTCTCTCAACTGGTCATAGGGAAATCCCCACGAAACCACCGGTGCAGGCTGACAGGGGGACAGTAGTGTAGCAGGAGTAGGGGCATGGACATTTGGGCCACTTCATGTAATGTACTTGTGCCTTCAGGGGCTACTCTGACCCAATCTCACATATACTATCTCCATTTGTTGATGGAGTGCTACTGTTTATATTCAACTATATAGATGCCTTAGTAGGTCAGACAACACCTACTTCATAATAAGCAGCTCAGTTTGCATGGCAAATTGGTAGCCCATGGTTAAGCATTCAGTCTCTACTAAGGTTTAGTAGTAGGCCAAAAGTTATTTCTCAAAAGGAGAATACTTATCTGTGAAGGATGCAAGGGTTTTACTAGAAAATCCTAAGGGCATGCACTGTGATTCACCTATGGGAACCTCCAAAGGCTCCAAACAGCATCTATACCTGTCATTGATAGTCAAGCACCATTGAATCTGCTGGGTCCTATGGCTCAGCAGCCTGAAACTCTTGCAGAGCCTTCTCCTGTTCTGTCCCTTACCCAAAACTAGCAGCTTTTCAGGTTACTCGATAAATTGGCCAGAGTAACACACCTAAATGAGGAATATGAGTATACTATGCCTAAAATCCAAAGAGGCGCCCTAGCATTGTGCCTCCTTTTTGGCTATAGGAGGGGCCAAATTCAACAACTTATCTTTTACCTTAGAAGTGCTATCTCCACATGCCCCACACCACTGGAGCACTAAAATTTCACTAAGACAGTAGGCCCCTGCATTTTTGTGAGATTTATTTCTCACTGTTTGATATGTAAATATCTTACCAATAAGTCTGGGGTAGTCACTACTTATGGCTCACTGGGTTCAGTCAGCATAATGTCATCAATTTAATGGAACAGTGAGATGCCTTGTGAAAGAGAAATGCAATTAAGATACCTGTGAACTAAATTATGACATAGGGGACTTCCAGTCAAGATGGCAGAACAGATGGTCCCCAGCATCACTCTCTCTCACAAATCCACAAGTTTACTACTATAAAAAAGCAGCCACAGACAAGCTGGGGCTCCCAGAACTCAGGGGAAGAGGAGGAGAGACCTACAGAGTGTACGAAGGTGGGAGAAGTGGAGAAAAGTATGTAGCCTGCATGCAGAGATAAATTCCACCATCCTCACACTCTACTCTGCTGATTTTCAGTGTGGAATCTGTCCCTGCCCTGCTACCACTGAACATATCTGGGATCCCTAAGCCTGGTTGGCGACTGTATAGATCAGGAGCTGTGGATCAGCCTGGATTTTGCAGATATGAATACAAATACGTATATCCATTACTATGTAGGAGGCTTTGACTAGACCTACAGAGGATGGAGCCCGGTTCTCCAAGGATGACAGCCCGGGAGAGTGGAGTCTGAGCCAACACAACATCCCCACAGGATGTTAAAGTAATGAAAGAGAAGTGCAATGTTGTACACAAACTTTATGAGATATTTTCATGATTTTTTCTTTATTGGTTATTTCAGTCTAAATGTTTTTTGTTTGGGGTTTGATTCATACCTCCAAAATATCAAATTAACAAAAAGAACAGAGATTTGCAAGGCACAAAGGAACTTCTAAAAGTCACCTAAACCATCCGCCTCTTTCTGTGGCATAGTCTCCCCCAGAGCAGAGGTCTTTGTTCCTTCTAGAATCTTCCTCACTGTCACAGATCTAAACCTCGCATGCCCCATCCTGGAGCACATCTCACGTGTACACAGAGCATATGTAGGAAGCAGTTGGGCCCAGAGCTTACCCTCCCACCCCATTCTCCTTCCTCATCTCTCTTCTGCCCTGACCAGGGATCCAGAGCATCAGCAGCCTCGGGTTCTCAGCAGGGAACTCCATTTTAAGAGGTTGAACTGAGGAGTCCTGATATGTCAAGGCAAGATTAGAGTGAGTTTTTATCTCAGACTGTCACAGGAAGGTCTTCCCTAGGGGACAATATGCAAATCCACTGGTCGGTGCAGTGGTGTAAAAACAGACAGTGGGAGTGTGGGGGCCCCTCCTGTGAGCAAAGTGGTATAAAAGGACTTCTATATTTGGAAGAAAACTAACATAGATAAGTCCATTCTGCCTGCAGTACTGGGAAAAGACATCACACTGTTAAAATCTGGATCTGCGGGAAGAACACAGTGCACATGGTCCTACCCCTCTAAGAAAGCATCAGGCCCTGCCCTGACCATGTAGAAATTCTTGTCCTGGTCCAACTCCGGGAGGTGAAAGGCCACACCACTTGGCTCCCTTTCAGCTAATCTAGAGAAGAAGAGAGCTCCCACCCCACTAATATGGATCACCAGAGTTTTCACCCCAAAACAGCATGGAGCTAAGCTAGATCAAAAGTTGTCTGGTATCTGCTGTTACAAAGTTAACTGTTTAAGAATGTTAGAAACAAATATTAAAAATGGTCTTTTTCTAGGCCTAGTGAATTAAACTCCATAAGAGCACTCAAGACAAAAAGAAATTTACAGGGTGAAAAAAAAAATCTGTCTCTTACAACTAGAGAGTAAATACCACTGCTTAAGGTAAGGAGAGATGGGGAAACAATTCCACTCTTCAGGCAGTGAATATTAAAAACTTGGTAACTGTTGTTACAAACTGGAATAAAAAATTTTGTTAAGGGAAGATCCCTTCAGGACAATGGGACAGAATGAACAATGGATAATTTTCTATTATTTTTTCTGTGAATGCTTATAGAAAAAATTTTCCCATATCTGCTCTTGTTTCTCATATATGTTGGGCAGCCACAGTTGTGAGTCCACAGTTTAAAGTGGGATTCCATGTGTTAAAAATAGCAAGAACTGGATCCAGCCTTTTAATGTCTCAGGGTAATTTGAATCTATCTGTGAATAACATTTTCCTGGGCCTTCATCGAAAATGGTCACTATGCAAAGGCTACTTTAAAAAATTATTCTTTAAGATGTTTGACTTTGAGAGAGTACTGCTGTTTTCAGTGAAATAAAATCATTAAGTCTCCTATACTTAGTGGTTGTTTTATTCCAAATCTGTTGTCATGGCATATACAGAAAATGTAAAATCTAGTAAAAGTTCTCTCTCGGACAGAAAAAGTCTTTAAAATTTTTTTATACTAGCTATAAACAGAAAGTAGAATATTCCTATTTCTAAAAAAAAATAATCTTTTTCTCCTGTTTGTTAAAAAACCATGCTGTAGTCAAGACAGCAAAATTGATCAGCAGCAAAAGCCTGTTCCTCCAAATCAACACAAAATATCAAGAGGTGGTAAAGGAGTGTAGGTATAACCTCTATCAGGTCCAGGTGGGGAGCAGAACTCTGTGAGCCTCGATCTTGACCAGAGTCAACTAAGTGAGGAAGGACTTATAGAGGTGGGTTTTATACTTGTTTTTTCTCTATTGCCAGATGTGTTAGTTTGGGGTTAATACAAACAGAAGCCATGTGTGATTTGTGTCTTGCTGGTGGAAATGCTGACATTGGTTATCCTGAAGTTAGTTTGTAGGGTGGAGAGTGTGATATGGTTATACATCTTGTAGATTTTTATTTGTATACTTTGTCAGCCCAAACATCCCAAACCCACACTACTTTGGACAAGATTAAAAACACACAGATGCCTGTTTCCCCCACTTTGACTCCAATGGAGGTTCTTTCTGATTAGAGATGAGAGTTTGTCCGTGGGTCAAAACTGACATCAATCCACCCAGTGGCAGTACCTTCCTTAACTGCAGGTTGGCTTGAGTGAATTGCGGAGGAACTTGTGATTGAGTTAGGTCACCTTTTCTAAATTACTGCAATCTGTAGCCTGCTAGAGGATAAATGCATGGGCAAATATTCTAGTTAACAAAGACCTCAGGAAAGGCTCTGTGGATGTGCTAATCTTCTGAGTCTATATGTTCTAACACTGCGAGAAGCAGGTATGCTTACATGCCTGACTTTTCTGGATTCTTAAGATGCTATAGTCCATATGCCTAATCCGAATGAGCAGTAAGAAATGAAATGAAAAAAAAAAAAAAATTGAGCTCCTTAGAGCAGTCACAAAGCAAAATTATAATGTTTAACAAAGATCAAAAACTGATCAGAAACTTATTTGGGCAGATCTTACTCCTCTCTCATATTCTTGCCCTTGGAAATTGAAATCTCCTCAAACCATATACTGTTTGGCTCTCATATTATGGTATCCTAGCAGACCTAGGTGAAATTTGAAACTGATTGTAAAAATGTATTTTGATAATCTATTCAAAAAAAAAAATGATTGTCCCAAAATTATCCACTGGATGCAAAACAAAGAAGAGAAACTGTTGATTATATGAAGAAATTATAACAAATATTTGGTTGTCAGTAATGCTTCTGGCTTAATGCTAAAGTGTCAAGATTCACTACAATAATTTGCTTTGAATTTAAACAACCTCAGATGTCAAATATATTCAGTTTATTGATGATGTTGTTAAGTTCAACAATGTCCTTACTGATTTTCTCCCCTTTATATCCATTTGCGTTTATAGAGTAGTATAGAATGCTTTAGGTATAATAGATAATTTATCTGTTTTTTCTTGAAGTTTTATCAGTTTTGCCTCACGTATTTGATGCTCTTTTGTTAGACACATACACATTCAGGATTGTTATGTGTTCCTCGAGTATTACGTATCTTTATTATTATGTAATTATCCCTGATAAATTTCCTTCCTCTGAAGTCTTCTGTGTCTTAAATTAAAATAGCTACCTCTGCTTTCTTTTGATTAGGGCTAGCATGGCATATCTTTATCCATCCATTTACTTTTCACTCATATCTCTCTTTATATTTAATGTGGGGTTTTTTTGTAGACTGCATATAGTTGAGTCTTGTTTTTTGATCCACTCTGAGAATATTTCTCATTAATTGGTGCATTTACACCATTGGCAACTACAGTGATTATTGGATTAATATCTGTCATACGTGTTACTGTTTTCTATTTTTCACCCTTGTTCTTGGTTTCTATTTTGATTTTCCACACTTTATCTATCTTTTGTGATATTGAGCATTTTACATAATTCCATTTACTTTCCTTCTTAGCATGTCTTTTATATTTCATTTTTTACTTTTTTAGTGGATGCCTTAGAGATTGCAGTATACATTTGTGGCTAATAGAAGCTCACTTTCAAATAACAACCTACTGTTTCATCGGTAGTGTGAGTAATTTATAACAACAAAATAATACTACTGAGAATAAATTTCAAAACATGTTTGGAATACTACAAATTGGATAAAGAAAAATTAACCCATTATTGGAATTAAAAGATTTTCTACTTGAAGTATGTGATGTTACTCATTTATAACAAGCATCAATGAAGTGTTTTCAAAGCTGTTATACTGCTAATAAAAACAAGCCATAGAAGTTGTACTTTTACTTTTTAAATAAGCATTTTTAAAAATCTGAAATAAAAGCTAAGCAAAATTAATTTAAAAGAACCATCATTTTATCAAAATTGAATATCTAGCATCAAAGTGATGCTTTACACAAAAGGATTAAAGAACACATCTAGCCCCTAAATTCTCTTCTCTAGCCCTGAAAACCTTCCCATTGAATGAGTCAGAATACACAGGCCCTCAGGCAGATAGAGGAAGTGTGCAGATCTGATACCCTCTGGCAAGGAAGCAGCAGGTGCTTTAGACTCTCTGACAGGCAGACCAACAGAGGAGGTTTGTGTTCGAGGCTGAAGCACTGTGGGAGGAGTGCTATAATACTGCTGACAGTAATAAACTGCCGCATCTTCAGCCTGGAGGCTGCTGATGGTGAGAGTGAAATCGGTCCCAGACCCACTGCCACTGAATCGATCAGGGACCCCAGATGCCCGGGTGGATGCCCAGTAGATGAGCAGCTTAGGAGCCTGTCCTGCTTTCTGTTGGTACCAGGCTAAGAGGTTTTTATTGTTGTAACTGTATAAAAGACTCTGGCTAGATTTGCAGCTGATGGTGACCCTCTCTCCTACCGACACAGCCAGTGTATCTGGAGACTGGGTCATCACAATGTCCCCACAGGCACCTGCAGTTAAAACATTGACAGTGCAGCTGATGGTGACCCTCTCTCCTACTGAAACAGCCAGGGTATCTGGAGACTGGGTCATCACAATGTCCCCACAGGCACCTGCAGTTAAAACATTGACAGTTACCACACATTTCGTCACTAACATATTAATAACCATATCTAAAAATGTAGGTTTTCTTATTTATCATAAATAATCTGTTTTGGATAATTCTTTAATTCTGCATGTGAATTTTTTAAAAATTTTATAAAGATATAACTCATCTAATTTTCTCACCTGATACCCAGAGCACCAGGAAGATGAGAAGTTGGGGCTGTGGCACCATCTTGCTGCATTTGCTTGTCTAATACACTCGCTCCCCATCTACAGGGAAACCCCATTTATAGAGCTCCGAGCAGGCAGCCTGGTGCCTGAGGAGCTAATGCAAAGCATCAGAGAGTATGAAAGCAAATGCAACTGTGCGGTGAGTTGTGGAGACAAATACTGGAAAGAGGAGGCAAAAATACCATTTCCCCAGGAAATGAGATTGTATGTCTGCAAAATAACCACACAACAGCTCAAGACTATAATTTTCAAGTTCAACAATAGCTACAAAGGGAAAATATTTTTATATCAACTGTATTTTTTTCAAACACTCAACTAGAAAACATGAATTAATTTTGTAATAGAATACTTGTGTAGGTGAGCGTATAACTTCAAAACATAACTAAATATATAAATATGATGTCAGTACATGGGAATGCATTCCTGTCACGGGATAAAAAGAGGACATATTGCACAAATTTGTGTCTCTCTCAGAATATCTTCTGAATTTTAAATACATATTTTAAGTTTCTCTTAGACAGTAACCTCAATACATCCCAACCATACCTCTGGTATTTCCTTCATCACAAGCACTAACTCAGAAAATGAGTCACTGGATACTTATGAATCACAGTCACTTATATTTAGTTGAACCAGTTTCTCTTACAACATCTCAAGTCCTCCTAGATCCCTCTGTGAACAGGCCTAAGGTGTCACAGCTCCTCCTGAGGGTAATAGGTGAGATAGCTTCAGCTCCTGGGCTCTGTAGAGCAGCTCTTTATTTATTTATACACACAATCAAAAATATTTATAGAATAACACAAACAATAGTATCTAGACGTAGGACCATAAGTTATGAGCAATTCAAGCAAATCCCGATCTCACAGAGTTTTTATTTGTGGGAGGGGCAGAGCAGGAGGGGACAGAAAACAAACAATATTTCTGTTGTCACTCCTATCCTGCTCAATCTGAGATTCCCTCAAATGCCCCCGGTGGTCTTGACCTACCTCACATTATGGTTTCAAAATGGTAATACATGCTACAGTTCTACCTCATTACCACCTTGTTTTGTCTGCTCTTGGATGAAGTTACATTTACGTGTGCATGCATTCTTACAAATATTAACTTAATTTAACTTTCTGCTCCCTAATGTTGATGCTTTTCCTGCTTCAATACAACAACTTCCTCACATTGTGACAGAAGCCTCAGAAATCTCAGATAGTCATGAATGACAAGACGATAGAACAGGCTATATGATAGGCTGAGATGGGGGACAGGAATGTCCTGCTTGAGGAGGGGACACTTGAATTCATGCCTGAAAAGAGGAAGGAGTTGTCTGTACAAAGCTTAGGGAAGTGGTTTCAGAAAATGTACTGCATCTGTGTATTAGTCATGGTTCTCCAGAGAGACAGAACCAGTGGAATAGGTATATAAATATATGAGAGGGGATTTATTAGGGGAATTTTTCTCACAATGGCAAAGGCTGAGAAGTCCCATGAGAGGCCATGTCCAACTGGATGCTGGTAAGGTGGCTCAGTCCAACTTTGAAGGCCTCAGAACAAGGGAATCTGATGGTGTAATTCTCACTCTGAGGCCAAAGTCTTGAAATCCTGGAGGTGCCACTAGAGTAAGTGTTGGAACCCAAAGGCTGAAGAGTCTTGAGTTCTGTTGTCCACGAAGAGGAGAGAAGAGTGTATCCCAACTCCAGTGGATAGAGAGGGTGATTCACCTTTTCCTTTGCTTTTGTTGTCTCTGGGCCCCCAGTAGACTTTATGGTGCACACCCATATTGAGGGCAGATCTTTCCCACCCAGTCCACTCAGCCATACATAGTAATCTCTTCTGAAATCACCCTCACAGACACACCCTAAAATAAAGCTTTACCAGATTTCTAGTTATTCTTTAATCTAGTCAAGTTGGCACCTAAAATTAATCATCCCAGAGATTAATTATGGGAGGAGAATCAGCACTGTGGAGGAATCAGTGTGTGGAGGCAGACATAGACATGACACCCAGGAGATCACGAGGGTCTGGCAGAGAGCTTGAGTTTTCCATTAACTTCAAATGAGAGCCTGTGAGACAAGTGTGAGAATTAGTTCATGTTTATACCAAGTACTCTCTAGGGCATGTTATTGTTCCTGGCACCACAAGGAAGAGGAAAGCATAAAAGCCATTGTCATTACTGTTCCAGCTGGGATATTTACTCTTTTTTCCTGTCCTTATGTGAAGTCATACAAGGACATTAAAAAGTTAAATGTTTAAATACTACCCAATTGCAAAGATCCAACTGGGCCCAATGAGTATTTGGGAAATGATAAACAAGCATATTGTGATAGAAAGACAATTCCAAGTTGACTCCAAAGATCACTGGCCCCTGGTGTCAACCCAACTTCTTCTAGATATTTAATCAAACAGTAATTTAGTTTTTTCTGTAAAGGGATTATGCAGATGTAAAGAAATAAATAGACCTTAAGAGTTAGAGATTATCTGAGTTTAACAAATCTAATTACAGGAGCCCTAAAATTCTGGGTCTTGAGTCAGAGGGAAATCATGAAGATTCACAGTGTGAAAAGGATTTAATATGGGGGAGAACCTCTGATGCTGGCTTTGGAGATGGAAGGAATGACATGGAAAAAAAAAATGAGGGTGGCCTTCAGTAGCTGTGAAACAACAGTCAGCGCGAAATGAGGACCTCAGCCGTACAACTGCAGGAAACTGATTCTGCCACAATCACCTGAGCTTGGAAGAAGACTCCAAGTGACAGAAAGGAATGCAGCCTGACTGACTCCTCAATTTTAGCCTCATAAGACCCTGAGCAGAGAACCCAGACACATCATGCTTGGACTTCTAAGCTATTGTCCTTTAACCTAATGAGCTGCTAAGTTGGTAGTAATTTTTTACTCACCTTTGGAAAACTAATAGAGTTATGAATGTACCACATGTTAATATGAGGATCAGAAATCTAGATAGAAGATATTATCTTCCCATTTAGCTCATTACCAAGATGATGCTGAAGTCTTGGACTTGGAATGCAGTGTAGTCGATCTCTGCCCTTTTCCTACCACAGACATTCACCTAATATGTGTCCACACCCACACGATCAAATCTGTATATTGCTCTATGAAAATTCAGTTTGGAAAACCTTGGAGGGCAGAGCAAGATGGCCTACTGGAGTTGTCTGGTATTCATCCCCCTTCCCCCCAAAAGAAATCAAAACAAAAATCAAACAAGTATATTTTGACTGGAATGACTGAAGAAGTACACTGCAGAGCACCACAGGAGAGATGAAATCCTTATGGAGCACAGAAGACAGGGTTAGCACCGTAGAGAGCAGGGAGAGAGCAAGGCACAGCCTCTGTCTCACTGCTGGGACCTGCTCAGTCAGGTGGAAAAATAGTAGGTTGGAAAAATCCCAGCTGTTTCCAGTGCCACCACAAACACCAGCAATCTCTGCCACAGGACAGTCCCCCAGTCCTCACAGGCCTCAAACACATACAAGAGTAGCAGGAAGTTTGTGCAGCTACATGGCCTTGTAGTAGAAGCCCAGGTAGAGGAATCCTCCCTACTGACCTAAGTGGCTGTGGCACAGCACCATCCTTAAAGTGAAACTGCAGCTACAGCACATCCTGCCAGGAAGGGGTGGTAGTGATGAAAGTTGACCCTCTCCATCCTGAGGCCCCATCTATATTCTACCACATTCACATGAGATCTTGCAGGACCACAATCCCAGCTGCCTGCAGTCTAGGCCAGGCAGACAGACCAGGACCCCAGTGCCTAAACCCACACAGCATCAATTCCCTCTAAGACAAGCAGACTGATCTGCTTGGCAGGGAAATTGCCAATAAGCTAAGGTCTGCCACATTCATGTACACCCATCCCACATAATCCAAGGTTCCACTGAACCAACGGGTGCCTGCAACAGCAGACAGCCAGCCCAGTGGTAGCTCTGCTTCACACTGTGGACATCCACAGAGCTGCTGCAGCCCACTGCGCTGGTGTACACCTGCTAACTGACCAACTGCAGATCAGGATGGGGCTTTGCTTTCCCACAGCATGCCTCTACAGAGNGCCACTAGAGTAAGTGTTGGAACCCAAAGGCTGAAGAGTCTTGAGTTCTGTTGTCCACGAAGAGGAGAGAAGAGTGTATCCCAACTCCAGTGGATAGAGAGGGTGATTCACCTTTTCCTTTGCTTTTGTTGTCTCTGGGCCCCCAGTAGACTTTATGGTGCACACCCATATTGAGGGCAGATCTTTCCCACCCAGTCCACTCAGCCATACTTAGTAATCTCTTCTGAAATCACCCTCACAGACACACCCAAAAATAATGCTTTACCAGATTTCTAGGGACTTTATGGTGCACACCCATATTGAGGGCAGATCTTTCCCACCCAGTCCACTCAGCCATACATAGTAATCTCTTCTGAAATCACCCTCACAGACACACCCTAAAATAAAGCTTTACCAGATTTCTAGTTATTCTTTAATCTAGTCAAGTTGGCACCTAAAATTAATCATCCCAGAGATTAATTATGGGAGGAGAATCAGCACTGTGGAGGAATCAGTGTGTGGAGGCAGACATAGACATGACACCCAGGAGATCACGAGGGTCTGGCAGAGAGCTTGAGTTTTCCATTAACTTCAAATGAGAGCCTGTGAGACAAGTGTGAGAATTAGTTCATGTTTATACCAAGTACTCTCTAGGGCATGTTATTGTTCCTGGCACCACAAGGAAGAGGAAAGCATAAAAGCCATTGTCATTACTGTTCCAGCTGGGATATTTACTCTTTTTTCCTGTCCTTATGTGAAGTCATACAAGGACATTAAAAAGTTAAATGTTTAAATACTACCCAATTGCAAAGATCCAACTGGGCCCAATGAGTATTTGGGAAATGATAAACAAGCATATTGTGATAGAAAGACAATTCCAAGTTGACTCCAAAGATCACTGGCCCCTGGTGTCAACCCAACTTCTTCTAGATATTTAATCAAACAGTAATTTAGTTTTTTCTGTAAAGGGATTATG